GGCATGTGGCTCTACAAGGTGAAGCGGCCGCCTGGATCACCACCGGTGTTTAAGGCGCGTTACGTGGCAAGAGGGTTCAGTCAGCGAGAGGGGGTAGACTTCTTCCAGACCTACGCTCCCACCCCGAAGATGAGCACTCTTCGGGTGTTGCTGCATATAGCAGCTCAGCGCGACTACGAGTTGCACTCCTTGGACTTCTCCACATCGTTCCTACAAGGGAGCCTGCACGAGCAGATCTGGCTGCGTCGTCCGCCTGGCTTCACTGGCTCTTTCCCTCCTGGGACCCAGTGGCAGCTGCGTCGACCGGTCTACGGCCTGCGCCAGGCTCCCCGCGAGTGGCACGACACGCTACGTACGACTCTTGCAGCGCTTGACTTCTTTCCGTAGTCTGCCGACCCGTCGCTGTTCGTCCGCCATGGCTCGACCCCGTTCTTTGTTCTGGTCTACGTTGACGACCTGGTCTTCGCCACTCCCGACCGACGCGCACTGGCCTCCGTGAAGGAGGAACTGGAAAGGAGACACACTTGCACTGACCTTGGTGAGCTGCAGCACTACCTTGGCATGCAGATCACCAGGGACAGGGCAGCTCGCACCATTACGCTGACTCATTCGCATATGGTCGAGCAGATCCTCACGCGGTTCCGCTTCCCGTTCTCCAAGGTACAGCCCACCCCTCTTGCTGTGGATCATGGGCTCACGGCTCCACCTTCGGACGAGCCATTTGAGTCCAGTGGTCCATATCCTGAGCTGGTGGGTTGTCTCATGTACCTGATGACCTGTACACGCCCAGACCTAGCTTACCCTCTTAGCGTCCTTGCGCGCTTTGTTGCGCCTGGGAGACACCGACCTTCCCACTGGTACGCTGCTAAGAGGGTGGCAAAGTATGTGGCGAGTACATCAGGCATGGGACTTGTCCTTGGAGGGAAGCAGCCAGTTACACTTACAGGTTTCTCGGACTCGTCTTGGGCCGACGACGCAGAGTCGCTGCGGTCTACACAGGGTTACAGCTTCAGCCTTGGCACCGGAGCTGTTTCGTGGAGGTCGACTCGGGCGTCGTCCGTCTCTAGTTCCAGCTGTGAGGCAGAGGTGTACGCTGCGGCCATGGCCGCCCAGGAGCTTCGCTGGCTGTCTTTCCTTCTCTCCGACCTCGGTGAGCGGCCTCGCTCTCTCCCAGTCTTGTTCGCCGACAACAGGTCTACTATCCTGTTGTGCGAGGAGCCCCGACTGGTTAGGAAGGCGAAGCACATCCAGCTTCGTTACTTCCTTCTGCGAGAGTTGCAGCAGCGTGGAACTCGTGCGACGTGTGGTCTCTGAGGCCAACACTGCAGATATCTTCACCAAGGCGTTGCCGCCTTGTGACCATCAGCGTTTCTGCACCCAGCTTGGCCTTGTGTCTACAGGCCCTCACTTGTTTGCGTAGAGATGCTTTGTCTTGTACTATTGCATCTCACTATATATCATATATCTGTGCTTGTGGACAGGCCTTGTGGCCCCTTGCTTTTGTAGAGATGCTTGTCATGCATGTCTTGTAACCTTGCATCTTCTATATTTGCTTTGTCATTGCATGTGAACTGGCCTTGTAGCCTCATGTTTGTTCTCGGAATGCGTGGTGATCTTGAGATCCACCCCGAGCTTTGTTTTATTCTTCTGAACTGGTCTTGTGACCATTGTTTGCTCTTGTTGACTGGTCATGTGACCCTTGCTCTTAGACTGTGTGTTGCTTTCCACAGGACTACCGTCACCTAGACTATGGGGGTGTGTCAAACTATAATTGTTATGGTTTGTATTTGCTAGTCTAGGTGGTGTACACTTATGTTTAGGGTTGGCTAGGGTTGATCAGGGTTTGCTATATCTTCCTTGTCCTTGTCATTTCTAGTCATTCATTATTCCGTTACCTCGTTGACAGCTGTGTCCGGTCAGGTTACTGTGTCCGGTCTAGTTGCTGCGTCTTGCTCCTGTCAGTCCCTAGCCCACCCGACCGTCTTGTGGCACCACCGCCTTGGCCACCCGTCGATCCCCCGCCTCCGCAGCATGGCCAATCACAGTCATGTCTTTTCGTCGCTCCCTCCCTCGCTTGCCCCACCCTGCACTCCATGCGTTGCCGCCCGCCTGCGCGCCACTCCGCACTCCTCCTCCCTTCGTCCGGCCACTTCTCCCTTCCAGACTCTCCACCTGGACGTCTGGGGCCCTTCCCCTACGCTGGGACCTGAGAGGGAGCACTACTTTCTAGTGGTCGTTGACGACTACTCCAGGTACACCACGGTGTTTCCTCTCGCGAAGAAGTCCGACGTGACTTCTACGCTGATCCGGTGGCTTCTGGCCACTGAGGGCACTCGTGGTACTCGTGTCCGTTGTCTCCACTCCGACCGTGGGGGTGAGTTTCGCTACGGCGTCCTTGCCGGGTTCTGCGGCGAGCAGGGCATCAGACAGTCCTGGACGCTGCCGAAGTCCCCACAGCATAATGGGGTTGCTGAGCGCCGCATTGGCTTGGTCATGGGTTTCGCCCGCACGTCCATGATCCATGCCCGTGCGCCCCATTTTCTGTGGCCCTACGCGCTGCGCTACGCCGCGCACCAGCTGAACCTCCAGCCGCGTGTCTCGCGGCCAGAGGTTTCACCGAGCAGTCTTTGGACTGGGTCCCCTGGTGTTGGGTCGGCCTTTCACGTCTGGGGCTGCCTTGCGCTTATCCGCGACACCTCTGCGGACAAGCTCTCGGCTCGCGCCATCCCCTGTGTCTTCCTTGGTTTCCCGCTAGGCTCTCCCGACTACTCCTTCTACCACCCGCCCCTTCACAAGTTTCTAGACTCTCGTGACGTCCAGTTTGACGAGGCAGTGTCCTACTACACTCGGTACCCCTGTCGATGTCTCCCGGTTCCCCCTCCCCCCCTCTTCCTCGCACCCTCTCTTCCCCCTGCTCTCGCTCCTCCGGTACCCCCACCCCCCCCTCGTCCTGCCCCGTCAGGTGTGTCTCACGCTACCCCTCTACCCTCGGTCGCGCGTCAGGTAGGGTCTCCCTCCCCGCAGTCCTCCTCACAGTCCCCTCAGCAGCCTTCGGCACTTCCGCGACAGGTTGCTGTGGACTCGGTTGGTGTTGGAGCTGGAAGTGCAGCCGCTGGCGGTACTCTGTCTGGGGTTGCTCGTTCGAGGGGTGCTGGAGTTGGAGGTGCTTGCGCAGGTGGCGCTAGCTCTGGGGGTGCTGGAGCTGGAGGTTCTGGCACTGGAGGTGCTAGTTCTGGGGGTGCTCGAGCTGGAGGTGCTGGCACTGGAGGTGCTAGTTCTGGGGGTGCTGGTGGTACTGGCACTGGAGGTGCTAGTTCTGGGGGTGCTGGAGCTGGAGGTGCTGGTACTGAGGAGACGGGAGCTGGAGGCTCGCCTACTGTGCGTCCCCACCGCCACGACACCCGCTTGCAGTTGGGGCTTGTTGAGGTAGGCCCTCGGTTGCTGTAGACTTGTTGTTTGTTGTGCTTGTTGTGCTTTGCTATATATATCATAGTGAACTCTTGAACTGGCCTTGTGGCCGCTTTCTCGTGCTCGGAATTTGTATGGTGTCCTTGAGATCCACCCTGAGCTTGCTTTGCTTCTTGCATTGACTGGTCTTGTGACCATTTGTTCACCATGCTTGTTTTGATGCCCCTCACTTAGCCTATGGGGGTGTGTCAAATATATAATACTGGTATAGGCTGTAGTGAGCAGGCCCCAAAATATCAAGGTATTTTACCCGGATTGCCCTGACTGGCGGCCGTTTTTTTGGGTTTACCCTGACCTAGTCAGCCTCCCAGACTCCTTACCCTGACTCAAAAAGTTTTCGTTTTTTTTACCCTTATGAAATCCGAGTTAGCGCTTGTATCCCCCTGACTTAACCAGTGTTTCAACCCAGTTACCCTGAAACCGAATCTTTCTTAGCGAGGATATGGTGGAATTTGCGCAAGAAATGGACCAGCGAGTAACGCACTACCGAACCTTCCGCCCGCGTGTATCGAACCTAAGATTTTACGAGTGGTAAACCCAAATCTAACTATCTGAACCACTTCGACTTGATTTTAGTGTATGCAAAGTATTGATAGTACTAGAAACATTGAACCCTGGTACACTGACTAATTCAGCTTAAGTTTTTTTTTACCCTGTTTCCATCAGTGCACGAAAATTTTTACCCTAGGAGTCAGGGTTGGCCCAGCTTGGAACACTGATTAGATAGGGTGAGCCAAAACCAATTTTGGGCCCTGGTAGTGAGGTGCCTTTTGATACAATCTGAACCGTCTTATAGGATCGTCTCAGGTTGATCGCACGGAGTGTAGCAGCGGAAGATTGCTTGGTAATGTCGGGTACGGACTCTGTCAGTAGAAGGAGATTTAGATCTCGACAGAAGTGAATAACACAATGCGGTACAGGGGTTTATATAGGAATACAGTGGAATACGAAAGGTCCTAGCTAGCCATGTACTCTGAGGGAATACATTCCCCTTAGGGCGAATCTAGATGCACGATTGAAACCGTGCGACTCAGTAACTGTACGCGGTCCGGTAACCGTTTGAAGTTTTCCCGCGCTTTGCACTTCGAATTCTTCCTGCTTGTAACTGTCTTCGATAACTGTCTTGTCGCTCGGTCTTCGTCCTCGCTGCAGTCATCTTCGCGTTTAAGGATTCGTTTACTTCAGGAATGTTTATTCAACAATTCCATATCGTAACACCTTTTAGGGGGTACAACTTTTAGGTTTGCATATTTGTACCCCATCATGTTTTTAGTTCATCATTCCGTTGCATTCACTTACTAAGATATTGAATCATGCGCACTCTTCTTCATTACAACTCATAACAAAAGAGATGATCACTAAGGAATGCCAAAATAATCCTTAGAACTCTTTGTAAATGAGGGAAGTCTCGTTGCATTCCTCTGGTTCGAAATCGAAACGGACTAAAAGAAGCCGTGCCAGTCCTCTCGCCAGCATCGCCCAACAGCGCCTTGCGACAAGCCCTTGAGCTGTCATCGCCACGGCGTGCCGTCATGGCGGCGGCGCACATCCCGCTCAACCAGCACCCCGATGTCGTCAGGTACCCTCGCCCGCTGCCGCTCTCATACCTTTATCAAGTATCCTCGATTCTCTTTGCCTTTTTTTTGTTGCATCGCGCCTCTCCCAGTCCCAGCATTAGCCAGTCCCAGCGTTGTCTTCTCGCCGCTCGCCCTCTCCGCGCAGGTGGCTGCCCGCGCTCTCCCCGCTGCAGGCGGATCGCCCGCTCGCCCTCGCCGCGTGGGACTACCGCACGTGCACCGCGCACCTGCACGCGCTCCTCCTCTCCCCGCCGCAATTCCCCGCCTCTTCCCCCGCCGCCTCGCCCCCTCCGCCCACGCTCGCGCCCCTGGGCGCCTGGCAGCTGCCGGCGCGCGCGTCCCGCCTGTCAGTGTGCGCGCTGCAGGACGGGCGGTCGCTGCTGCTGCTGGGGTCGCGCGGCGGGCATGTGAGCGCGCTGCTGCTCGACGGATGGGACGTGCTGGGCGCGGAGGGGGCGCTCGCAGAGGCGCTGCAGGATGGGGAGGGACGGGAGGGGCGCGGGGGGGACGAGCGCATGGAGGGAGTGGATGGGGTAAATGGGGCGGGCAAAGCGCGTGCTGGGAGTGATGAGGGGAAGAGGAGGGCGGGGACAGGGCTGCTGGTGGGTGTGGGCGGGGGGGAAGCGGCAGGCAAGGGGGAAAAGGCGGGCGGGGACAGAGGCATAGCGCTTATTACGGCTGCACCAAGGGGAGCGGGGGGGCCGGGCGGGCAGGGGCACGAGGGGCGCGTGACGGCAGTGGACTTCCGCGCGGACAACGCGCGCTGCCTCTCCGCGGGCGCGGACGGGCGCGTGCAGGCCATGGCGCTGGTGGCGGGGCAGTGGGTGGCGGACTCACTGCTGGCGGATGCTGGGGGCGCGCAGGGGGGGGGGTGGGGGAGCCGTGGCGGTGACGGCGGGCAGGTGGCGCGCTGCGGCGGAGGCAGTGACAGGCAGCATGGGGGGCGCCGTGCAGCTGTGGGACGTGAGGACGGGACCTGCTCATGCACCCGCTGCCACGTGCAGTGTTGCATGGTGAGTGCTGATGCCGTTGCTGCCATGCCCTGCCTCATGCGTGCGCGCACGCGTGGGTATGCAGCATGCATGTACACGTAAAGTGCATCCCACTGCCTCGTGCGCCTGCTCTGTGGTTGCCTGCTCTGTGGTTGCCTGCTCTGTGGTTGCCTGCTCTGTGGTTGCCTGCTCTGTGGTTGCCTGCTCTGTGGTTGCCTGCTCTGTGGTTGCCTGCTCTGTGGTTATCCCCTCCACCGTGTGTGCTGAGTGCCCTCGCGCCCTGCAGGTCGCGGGCAGCACCGTGTGCAGTGGGGGCCATCAACGACATTGCCATCCACCCCTCACGCAACCACCTCGCCCTGGTATGACCCACCACTGCTGTGGTTCGTTCTCCTGCCCCGACCACCTGAGGCACTACATGCATGCCTCTTGCACCCCACGTCACTGCCGCCCTGTGCTGCGCACGCAGCACCTGTATCCACGCACCACCCACTCACGCTTCCTCCGCCCGCCTGTCATGCTCGCCTCCGGGATCCTCGCGCTCTCACCACTGCCTTTTCTCCTCTCCCACCCCCCCCCCCCCTCCCCCTCCCTTGCCCCTCTCGTCCCACGTGCCACGGTACCAGGCAGCGGGGTCGCAGGGCGCGGTGGTGGCGTGGGACCTGCGCCACCTGCACCACCCACTGCTGCTCTTCGGCTCCTCCGCTGCACTGCCCGCCTCTCCCTCACCGAGTGCGCGAGGGGCGGAGTGGGCGCAGGGGGACGTGTGGGAGGTGCAGTTCGACCCCCTCACACACCTCTCGCTGCTCTCCTCCGCGCGCCCCGCTGCTGCCACCACCGCGGGCGCTGCTGCCGTGCCGCCCATGCTGGCGTGCTGCGATGACGGCCTGCTGTCCCTGCTGCATGCAGGTGAGCAGGGGGCGAGGTGCTGTGTGTGGCGCCTTTGTGCATGCATGGGTGCACCATCACTGCCAGTGCCACACCCTCACCACCACAACCACTGCCACGGCCATGGTATCATACAACCTTGGTGCTCTCACCACCAGCCTCATTGCACGCGGCAGGGCTGCAGCGACCATTGCCTCCCTGCGTGTGCGTCTGGGTGTGCATGTGCATGTGTATGTGCATGTGCATTGGCATTTGCATGGGCATGGGCATGGGCATTTGCATGGGCATGGGCATGGGCATTTGCATGGGCATGGGCATGGGCATTTGCATGGGCATGGGCATGGGCATTTGCATGGGCATGGGCATGGGCATTTGGATGGGCATGGGCATGGGCATTTGCATGGGCATGGGCATGGGCATTTGCATGGGCATGGGCATGGGCATTTGCATGGGCATGGGCATGGGCATTTGCATGGGCATGGGCATGGGCATTTGCATGGGCATGGGCATGGGCATTTGCATGGGCATGGGCATTTGCATGGGCATGGGCATTTGCATGGGCATGGGCATTTGCATGGGCATGGGCATTTGCATGGGCATGGGCATTTGCATGGGCATGGGCATTTGCATGGGCATGGTGTACGTGCAACCCCACAGGAGGAGCGGTGCAGGATATCATGCATGCGCCACATGCCATCAACTCCTTCGATGTCGAGCCCTCCTTCGGCCAGGTGTGCTCCACCACCTTGCACCGCCACCCACCCACCCCATCAACTCCTTCGACTCCTTCGATGCGCTGCTCTTTGCATGCACGCACTCCCACCCACCCGCTCTCATGCCTGTGCGCACACCACCATTGCATCCACTGTCTTGCCTCACACTCTCCCATTCCTGCTCCCATTACACCACTGACCTGCATGGGTGTGTGTTGGGCTTCCCGCATGTTGACCTTCTAGCACACCTCGCCTGTCGCTGCACTCAAGGCTTTGTATGCCGCAATTGTAGCACCATCACCTTCTACTGAAGCACTACGTGCGTGAGATACATTCCCAACAATCCTGGTTTCTTTCGGACTTCGCCTCACTAATCCCTCCCCTGATGCACGTGTGCCCCGATCTGTGCACTGCTCGCATGGCAGCATGTGGTGGCATCGGGGTACCATGCCATCACATACGTGTGCCGCCCCAAGCTACCATGACCCTGCTTTCCGCAGCCAGCCTTATAACGCGCAGCTGCAAGAGTGCTCTCATGTGCGCGGTGCAGTTGAGAGCCCCTCGTAGGTGCTGCTCCCGCTGCAGCACACACTGATGTTCCCAAGGCCACACCTGTCAAATAGTGAAGGGCAGCTAGCAGATGCATTGGTTGGCAGGTGCCGTGAATGCCCGAAGCATGGTTCAGGATGCTGGGGAGATTGTTTTGTTGCACGGCCACTTGCACACATCAACACCATATATCAGATTAGATCCCGCTCAACAATAGGCTGGCCTGGATTCATGAGCTAGACTCAAGTGGGACCGTCGTTTGAGAAATAACACAGATGTGAAGATTGTGTCAAGACCTAGATCCCTTACTTCAAAGTAGTGAGGAAATTGTCTAGGGTTGTACAAAGCTGGACACAGGTGGAAGAGAGACTTCAAACCACTCAAGTTTCATCTGTTGCCACTAATTTGTGCCAATCCTACACAGAGTGCAGTGTGGGACCTTTGGAGTGTCACCGGGTTGCTAGTGCCTTTCCAGTCAGCTTGCGAAAAACAAAGCATCTGTGCCTACAAAAACCTTCCAAGCAAGCCCCCCAACCCTAGATCCGAAAGGGTCACCAAAGCCCATGCGACTAAGCAGAGCACGGACCTACAAGGCAGAATCAACAGCTGTACGCATGCTGCCCAGCCCAGCCCACCAAAGCACTCGTGGGCTGGAGGCCTGGCATGGCATCCCTTAACCGTGTGCAGGCAGCGGAGCCAACGAGTGCGTGTGCCTAGCGTGGCGCCTGGTTGTAGTGCGTGCTCTTGTCCTTCTTCTTGCCTGCCGCCAGCCGTGCTGCTCTCTCCTTGGCCTCAGCAGCAGCCTTGGCCGCGGCGTCCGCCGACCCGCCCTTCTTGGACTTGCCCCCCGCCTTGCTGGCCAGCTTCTTCAGCCGCTCCGCATCCACTGCTGCCACCGCTGCTGCTGCTGCGTCCGCGTCTGCCTCTTGTGCGCCGTTGGCAGGCTCGTCCTTGGGCTTGTCGGCGTCGTCAGCGTCCTTGTCCTTGCCCTTCTCCTTCTTCGCCTTGCGCCGCTTGGAGCTCTTGCTCTCCGTCAACGCTGGTGCCGCCACCGCTGCCTCACCCTTGCCATCTGCACCGGTACAAAGGGCCGGGGGGGAGTCGGGAGAGCGAAGGAGGAGACGTGGGGTAAAGACGGTGTTGGGGGGAGGAAAGCGGAGTGAGGGATGAGTGCGAGGGAGCAGAGAGGGCATGCAGCGGATGGAGAGGGGGGTGGAAACGACAGCACACACGTGCACAGAGATGCGGGGAGGGCAGGGAATGAGGGGCGGAGAGAGGACGGAGGAAGAGCAGGGATAAGACAGTGCGATAGAGTGTTGGCGTGTGTGCGGGTTAAGCAATTCGGGATGTAGACTGAGAGAGGGAGAGTGTGGGAGAGGGGGACAGGGAGGGGAAGAGAGAGTGGGGGAGAGCGAGAAAGCGAGAAGGAAGGGGAGAGAGAGAGAGAGAGAGAGAGAGAGAGAGAGAGAGAGAGACAGGGGGGGGGAGGGGGGGGGGGGTGGGGGGGAGGGGGGGAAGAGAGAAAGAGGATGAAAGGGAGACAGAGGGAGGGAGCGAGAGCGAGAGCGAGAGTGCGAGACAGAGACAGAGAGGGAGAGAGTGGATTGCAACGGGCCGTTCACTCGGCTAAAAACGCATGCAGACGAAAGAAGCGTGTCTTTGCGACCGTGTTCTTACAAACATTGGTTAATTTCAACGGCCTCTTCTGACGGTCTCAAGATGGCCGCATCGTGTGTGCGACGAGCACGTCACTCCCCATTCACCACTCCGCGGGTAAAACGTTAACAACACCAATCTGCGCCTCTCTCGCAATCGCACTCTGTACGGCGGGAGAGCGCTCTCCTAAACCCTTCTTGTGCTGGAAACCAAGGGACCAGTAAACCCTAAGCCGCACAAGCCTCAAACAAGATTCTGCTTATGCATGTCCAGACCGACCCGCTAGTTCCTCGCTTTCCCCCAAACCCTTTTCGGTGAGGCAAAGTGGTAACTCGAGGGAAGGCAGGGACTAGGAGATAGACATCGAAGTAGAAAAAAGCGCGCGGCGCTGTGTGCGCGTGTAACGCGGCCTTGTGAGGTGCAAGATGCGGTGCAATTCCATCCGTGCGACGCACTCAAGCGCACGGCATGGCGGCAGGCTGACCTTGTTGGTCGGCAGCGGGTTTACTGTCGGCGGAGGCGAGGCCGAGCTCGGCAAGCACGGCGTCGAGCTCCGCGAGCTCCTTCTTCTTCTGCTCCTTCTTCGACAGCTGCCGATCCAGCTCCTTCTCCCTCTCCTTCGCTGCCGCAGCTGCCGCCGCCTGCTCCTGCTGCGACGGCGGAGCCTCGGCAGGCGCGTGCGGTTTCTCGTCCTCCTCGTCGTCCTCCTCGTGCTCGCCCACCTCGTCGGCGAACATCTCGTCCTCCGATTCGCTCTCCTCCGCCTCCCCCGCACCCTCGCCCGCGCGGCTGCCGCCAGCGCCAGCGTGCGCGTGGGCTTGCGCGGGCGGGGGCGGCGCGGCGGTGGCGAAGTAGTCGTCGTCGTCATCTTCGCAGTCCGCCCATGACGACACCGTCACGGCCGCCGACCCCCAGATCTGACCGTCGCCTGGGGCTTGCGACGCCGCTGGCGCTCCGTGCGACGCGTCCTTGGTTGCTTTGTCCTTCTTCTTCGATGCGGACTTCTTCTTGCGACCCTCGAGCGCGGCGAAGATGTTGGAGCTCGTCAGCGATGGCGCAGCGTCATGCCGGGCACCCCCGACCATGGTCCTCGTCGCAGCGCGGCAGTCCTACCCTAGAGTAGCGCAGATGGCCGGAATTCCCGCCAATCCTCGGGGGAACAGCAACGCCAAAAAAGACGATGACACCTGACGGTCGAATAGGTTGCTCGTAGACGGGCAAAGCAGTCGGCAGAAACTCGGAAATCAGTTGTCACAGTAAGAAAAATTCGCGGAAACAGGCGCGCAGCGACAAAAGTAGGGGCGTGGGTTTGAGGAGATAAGCGGGCGCAGACAAGAAGCGAGTAGAATTTTGGCGAGGGGAGGGCTCAGTGAGCGCAGTACAGTAAACGGCTGCAGAAAAGCAAGGGTTGGAAGGAGAAGGCGCACGCCTGAAGGCAAACGGGAAACCAACTCCAGCTCGCCGCCCGTGGATGAATTGATGACGGGGAGTGAATGGATGGATTGTGGCGAGAGCCAGCCAATAGGGTCATTGCGAGTTGATGCGTTTTGCCATGCTGACCGCTTCTCTTCCCCCAACAGGGTGAGCTGATGGTGAGATCCCCATGAAGGCGGCTGCAAGGCCGCTGAGAAAACTCTCGATGCCAATCGACGGCTATCCTTCCAGGAGCTCAAGGCAAGAGCGGCTCATCCACGTCAGCAGGATTTCATGAGTTACGAAAAGACATGCTGCCTGATATGAGAGAGCGTGGATAAAAACCAGGGTGCACATTCAATTGGATTTCTGTCAAAGGTTAACCTTTGACCTCGGGGTTACTCAGTGATTTAGGAATATCTGGGGGGAGTGTTCGCTTCAGCAGGTGAACATTTGAACCCTCGAGATTTGGCAAATGTATACCGAAGTCATCGAATGTGCTTCCGCCAATACGTTTCCCCCCTCCCCATACCTATTCCGCTCCCACCGAAATTGTTCCCCTTCCCCCACAATATCGTCTCACCCCCTTTCCCCTTTCCGCCAACCCAGTTGCCCTCCCCTTGATCCCCAATTTCTAGATCCAAGTGTTATCAATTTCTCCCCTGCCAAGCCTCATCTCTCACGGACGAAAAGCCCCATGCTCGCCCATTCTCAACTATTTATTCGCTACTCGTCAACCAATCAGCAGTTCCCGCAAACATGCCGCCCAAAATTTAGCCTGGAGTCGCGTTGAATGTGTACCCTGGTTTAAAGACATTCGATAGTCTTCTGTGCACATTACCGCTTCCACTTCATGCAAACAACCTTAAAACCAGGGTGCACATTCATAATGGGTGTACTCCCATCGGAAAGAAATTGGTGTTCGGCGAAAAAAGTTTGGCAGGAACGAAAATACACTAGGAAGAATGGATGTGGCGAGAAATACGAAAGTGGGCGAATTGTGGCTCACTGAATTAAATCTGCGCCTGCCTGCAGCTAGGGGCTGCGGAACGACCTTCCATTTCCACCACCCTCCCAGACACCATAGTGATGAGTGAAGAAAACGTCTCGCACTGTCTCGCCACACCAACCAACCGCCAATACACATCAGGAACCAGGCGCCGGAGAATGTGAATAGGCAAGCAACGCGCATTTCTTCTAATGACGCGAAGGGATTATGTTTAGGGTTATAAGAGATAGGGTTAGGCGAAATGTGTGGAATCGCAGCGAGTGTGTTTAGATATATAGAACCATCGTGGCAGGACACCAATGGGGAGGGAACCGGGCAGCACAACAAGGATTTCGTCAGTGGAGAGCCCCCCAAATGACATATGATTATGGGGCGTGGAGGTGCGGAGGCGGCATGTTGCATTATCGCCATAGAACAGCGCGAAAAGTATGGTAGAAAGGCATAAAACTCGCAAATCGAAGAATAGGGTAACGGTAGGAAGGCGACGCGTGACTCATCGCCCGCACCCGCACCGTGACTACTGTCCACGCGACAAGAAGACATTCGCGCGGTCGACTTTGAAAAATAAAAAGGTGGCCATCTATGTAACCATTTCCACACGCAGCCCTTACTTGCATTCTCCACGCCCCTCACTCTCATTGTATTACCCAACACCGGCACTTACTTTCCCCCACCCAGCTATTCAGTTTCCCCCATGCAGCTGTTTACTACCCACCAGCAGGCTATTTACTTCCCTCCATCCAGCAACCTACTTCCCCCCATCCAGCGTCTACCATCCCCCCACCCAGCTATGACCTTCCCCCCCATCCTGCTAATTACTTCTCCCCACCCAGCTTCTAACATCCCCCCATCCAACTACTAACTTTCCCCCCCAAGTAGCTACTTACTTCCCTTTCCCCCACCGCGCTACCTTCTTTCCCGGTCATTGGGCTACTTACCTCCCCCCACACAGCTACTCACTTCCCCCCACCCAGCTACTTACTTCCCCCCACACAGCTACTCACTTCCTCCCACCCAGCTACTCACTTCCCCCCACACAGCTACTCACTTCCCCCCACACAGCTACTCACTTCCCCCCACACAGCTACTCACTTCCCCCCACACAGCTACTCACTTCCCCTCACCCAGCTACTCACTTCCCCCCACCCAGCTACTTACTTCCCCCCACCTAGCTACTCACTTCCCCCACACAGCTACTCACTTCCCCCCACACAGCTACTCACTTCCCCCCACCCAGCTACTCACTTCCCCCCACACAGCTACTCACTTCCCCCCACCCAGCTACTCACTTCCCCCCACCCAGCTACTTACTTCCCCCCACCTAGCTACTCACTCCCCCCCACACAGCTACTCACTTCCCCCCACACAGCTACTCACTTCCCCCCACCCAGCTACTCACTTCCCCCCACCCAGCTACTCACTTCCCCCCACCCAGCTACTTACTTCCCCCCACCTAGCTACTCACTTCCCCCCACCCAGCTACTCACTTCCCCCCACCCAGCTACTTACTTCCCCCCACCTAGCTACTCACTTCCCCCCACACAGCTACTCACTTCCCCCCACACAGCTACTCACTTCCCCCCACACAGCTACTCACTTCCCCCCACCCAGCTACTCACTTCCCCCCACCCAGCTACTCACTTCCCCCCACACAGCTACTCACTTCCCCCCACACAGCTACTCACTTCCCCCCACCCAGCTACTCACTTCCCCCCACACAGCTACTCACTTCCCCCCACACAGCTACTCACTTCCCCCCACCCAGCTACTCACTTCCCCCCACCCAGCTACTCACTTCCCCCCACACAGCTACTCACTTCCCCCCACCCAGCTACTCACTTCCCCCCACACAGCTACTCACTTCCCCCCTCCCAGCTACTCACTTCCCCCCACACAGCTACTCACTTCCCCCCACCCAGCTACTCACTTCCCCCCACACAGCTACTCACTTCCCCCCACACAGCTACTCACTTCCCCCCACCCAGCTACTCACTTCCCCCCACACAGCTACTCACTTCCCCCCACACAGCTACTCACTTCCCCCCACACAGCTACTCACTTCCCCCCACACAGCTACTCACTTCCCCCCACCCAGCTACTCACTTCCCCCCACCCAGCTACTTACTTCCCCCCACCCAGCTACTCACTTCCCCCCACACAGCTACTCACTTCCCCCCACACAGCTACTCACTTCCCCCCACCCAGCTACTCACTTCCCCCCACCCAGCTACTCACTTCCCCCCACCCAGCTACTCACTTCCTCCCACCTAGCTACTCACTTCCCCCCACCCAGCTACTCACTTCCCCCCACCCAGCTACTTACTTCCCCCCACCTAGCTACTCACTTCCCCCCACACAACTACTCACTTCCCCCCACACAGCTACTCACTTCCCCCCACACAGCTACTCACTTCCCCCCACCCAGCTACTCACTTCCCCCCACCCAGCTACTCACTTCCCCCCACACAGCTACTCACTTCCCCCCACACAGCTACTCACTTCCCCCCACCCAGCTACTCACTTCCCCCCACACAGCTACTCACTTCCCCCCACACAGCTACTCACTTCCCCCCACCCAGCTACTCACTTCCCCCCACCCAGCTACTCACTTCCCCCCACACAGCTACTCACTTCCCCCCACCCAGCTACTCACTTCCCCCCACACAGCTACTCACTTCCCCCCACCCAGCTACTCACTTCCCCCCACACAGCTACTCACTTCCCCCCACCCAGCTACTCACTTCCCCCCACCCAGCTACTCACTTCCCCCCACACAGCTACTCACTTCCCCCCACCCAGCTACTCACTTCCCCCCACCCAGCTACTCACTTCCCCCCACACAGCTACTCACTTCCCCCCACACAGCTACTCACTTCCCCCCACCCAGCTACTCACTTCCCCCCACACAGCTACTCACTTCCCCCCACACAGCTACTCACTTCCCCCCACCCAGCTACTCACTTCCCCCCACCCAGCTACTTACTTCCCCCCACCCAGCTACTCACTTCCCCCCACCCAGCTACTCACTTCCCCCCACACAGCTACTCACTTCCCCCCACACAGCTACTCACTTCCCCCCACCCAGCTACTCACTTCCCCCCACCCAGCTACTCACTTCCCCCCACACAGCTACTCACTTCCCCCCACACAGCTACTCACTTCCCCCCACCCAGCTACTCACTTCCCCCCACACAGCTACTCACTTCCCCCCACACAGCTACTCACTTCCCCCCACACAGCTACTCACTTCCCCCCACACAGCTACTCACTTCCCCCCACCCAGCTACTCACTTCCCCCCACCCAGCTACTTACTTCCCCCCACCCAGCTACTCACTTCCCCCCACACAGCTACTCACTTCCCCCCACACAGCTACTCACTTCCCCCCACCCAACTACTCACTTCCCCCCACACAGCTACTCACTTCCCCCCACCCAGCTACTCACTTCCCCCCACCCAGCTACTCACTTCCCCTCACCCAGCTACTCACTTCCCCCCACCCAGCTGACATCCGCCCTTGCTCCCCTCTCGTTCCCTCCACCCAGCTACTGGCCATGTCGTCTGATTGTGAGGTGCGGAGTTCTGCCCTTGAAGAGTTGCGTGACATGGCGAACAAATGCGAAGTGAAGAGTCTTGGTATTTCTAGTCACATGCAGCCGCCAATCTGTTTCCTACGGATTGGTTTGTCATGCTTGATGGGAAGGACTGCATCCATTGCCGATCTGGTGTTCTTCTTACTAATGGTGGGGGATGGGGCAATCGAGAAGCTGATGATGGCAGCAACAAGGGCTGGTGAGATGTGACGGAGTTGTGGGACAGTTTGGGGCATGTAGTTGAGATGAACAAGAAAGATTCATTAGTTCCTAATCTTTTGTTCGCGCAGGATCCGATGGGACAACCGCAGGCGAAAGCGTGAAAGTACTTCTAGCGACATTTGGTGCATCTTTCAGATGCAGGGCAGATATTGCATCAGAGGATCTATCAGATCTTACGATGCGGGATCCTTATGGCATTGCAGGTCTACGATACGGCTTTCCTGCATACACCCTGGGTCCCGATGGAGCGTTGTATCGGGATGGCCGGCGGTTTCAATGGGGTGGGGCACGGAAGGGCTCCAACTATGATGCTGGTACGCACGATCGATTCTTTTCCGAAATGCGGCGCAAGTGTGACAAGTGTGAAACCGAGACATGGATTGACATTTTTTTTCCTGGCGAATGTTGTGTCATATCACCCACAATCATGTACTTATTCGAGGCATCCCTAAACTATTATGAAACTACAATTGCCCCCACGATCTAAATTCATGGCAGCTCGACAGGATAGGCCTGTCCATGACGTCACGGCGGGTGTGGAATGGCAAGACGTGGTGATCGGGAGTGATGCGCCAGCGCGCCCAGACCAAGGCACTGTGGCTGTTGAGGTTGTGCATGAGCTGAGCGGACTGCGCGGGCCACCACCTGACTTCCGTCAGGAAACACGTTGCAATGGTGATGCAAGCCCGAGGATAGCAAGGTACTTACGTGATGAACAGAATGCGTAGAGCCCGGACCCTTCGCATGTTGATGTCCCAATGGTGCGCATTCATGTACACATTCATACGATTCAATCACTAAGTTTTGTGCACATCTACCCACCCTTCTGCTCCCGTACACCGGCAGAGCATGTGCACCCCTCCCTCCCCACAGCACTGTGGCTGTTGAGGTCGTGCACGAGCTGATCGGACGGCGCGGGCCACACTCGGACCTCCGTCAGGAAACACGTTGCAATGGTGATGCAAGCCCGATTCCAGCAAGGTACTTACGTGATGAACAGAATGCGTAGAGCCCGGACCGGACCCTTCGCATGTTGATGTCCCAATGGTGCGCATTCATGTACACATTCATACGATTCAATCACTAAGTTTTGTGCACATCTACCCACCCTTCTGCTCCCGTACACCGGCAGAGCATGTGCACCCCTCCCTCCCCACAGCACTGTGGCTGTTGAGGTCGTGCACGAGCTGATCGGACGGCGCGGGCCACACTCGGACCTCCGTCAGGAAACACGTTGCAATGGTGATGCAAGCCCGATTCCAGCAAGGTACGTACGTGTTGAACATCATGTATAGAGCCCGGACCCTTCGCATGCGTAGGGCATTCGGTGCGCATATAGTACACATTTATAATAGTTTGCTCATTAAGTGTTGCACCCATATACACACCCTTCTTCTCCCTTACAACGTCAGAGCATTTGCACCAACGCCCACCAAAACCACACCAATAAAGGGAGACGGTTGGACCATGCTTCCTCTCTTGGACGGTCTTCGCAACATCGTTTGCTTCCTTGACCCCATTCACACGCTACAGTTTTTTATGGTTTTGTCACTTCATTGTACGGGGGTGGTGGGGTGCAATGGTCGTATGAAAGTGAGGTCATGGAAATTGGGGTGGGCTGGACTTGGTTTGAAGTGGGAGTGTGACGTGTGCAGGAAGTCGATGACTTATTGGTCCATAAAACGGCAGCCACCAAACACCGATCCTTCTGTCCCTGGTCGAAAGCGTATGCCTCTGATGCAAAGGTTCATGGCGTCTTTTGCACTTGCTGGCATAGGGTATCAGGTGATGTCAGAGGTGGGTCGAAATGTAGGTGTTTGTGTACCATGTAAGACCACATTCTACAAGTATATGAGAGGGGCCGTTCGCTGTTCCTGTTCGCTATGTACCATAACTTTGATGCATTATGACTGCCCTTCATTCTTTTACTAGTCAGGTTTTGATTTAGGTGCAAGGGCAAACTCAATGTACTCGAAAAACCCTAAACCCATCACACACAGGTGATTTACTCAACACGCGATGATGAACGAAGATGGAGTGGGGGCAATGGGTGGGGCAGCAGAGGGTGGGGCAGCAGAGCGTTGGGCAACAGAGTGCATGGCAGAAGGGCACGGTGCAGCATAATAGTGTGGAGCAGCAGATAGTGGGGCAGGAGAGAGTGGGGCAGCAGAGCGTGGGGCAGGAGAGAGTGGGGCAGCAGAGCGTGGGGCAGAGAAGTGTGGGGCAGCAAAGTGTGGGGCAATTGGCCTGTGGGGCTGAAGAGCGTGGGGCAGCAGATGGTGGGGCAGCCAAGGGTCGGGGCAGCAGAGTGGCGGGCACTGGATCAGCATAGCGTGGAGCAGCAGAACGTGGGGCCGTAGAGTGTGGGGCCGCAGATTGGCCGGCAGCAGAGAGTGGGGCCGTAGAGTGTGGGGCCGCAGATTGGCCGGCAGCAGAGAGTGGGGCCGTAGAGTGTGGGGCCGCAGATTGGCCGGCAGCAGAGAGTGGGGCCGTAGAGTGTGGGGCCGCAGATTGGCCGGCAGCAGAGAGTGGGGCCGTAGAGTGTGGGGCCGCAGATTGGCCGGCAGCAGAGAGTGGGGCCGTAGAGTGTGGGGCAGCAGAGTGTGGGGCTGTATATTGTGGGGCTCTGCTGCCTGTGCTGCGCATAATACGAATCCAGCACCTGCTCTATCACCTCCATGAGCATCTCCGGTTTTCTGTGCATTGCAGCTCGACTGGATTTATGGGACCAGTGGTAGGGTATTCAAAGTGGAGGCGCGGCACGGCGTTGTCTGCTCTATGTCAACGCGGAAACAAGTGCACTAGTAAACGCGCCTCTATGTGTATCTTATGTGCCATAACGCAATGGATCACACCGTGGTGTTGTGCTTCTGACATGGTGCCAAGGGTAATTCTGTAATACCTATAACCCCCATAGTACCGTACAACCCCCAGGACTTACTATCAACCCTATTTACTATTTACCAAGATTCTGCATGTGCGTACAATAGTAAGGATCGACGTGTGTTATTGGCTCTTTTTGTCGTGTGAAATACCCCATTGCTTTATATTGACGGCTAGCATGACACGTTACAACAAATGTGTAGCTTCATCATGATGAGGGTACACCCAGATTGATATAAAATATTGCCGTGTGAGCATAGCGCTGCAGGAGCCCTGTGTGGATTCTTCGCGGCAGGTAGGCGCACCGTGTGCCTGCCGCCATTGAGGAGAATCGAGGGCACGGGTGAAAGAGGCAGAACAGAGAGGAGAGAATGGTTGCCTTGAGGAAATTGGAGGGCAGGGAGGAGAGAGGATGGAATGAGAAGTGAGAGGGCAGATTGGGAGCGCCAAGGCGTGGAAGAGAGGAATTAGGGGATGAAGTGGGGAGAGAGGGGAGGAAGAGCGCACACCCATACCCACCCGCATGTGCATGCCAGATGGCGATGTGAGGTTGTTGATGACAGGCGGCACCTGTGGTATGGAGGGCACAGCGGGCATGATTGCGAGGATGTGAGGTGAGGAGTGAAGATGGGGAGCATGAGCATTGACACATGGGACATGACAGCACATGGTTCCCTGGGCAAACGGGGAAGGGGAACACAGACCACTGGACAGAGTCGAATGGAGGGACCGGTAATTAGAGGAACAAAGGAGTTGAAGTGCCGGCATTTTGGAGATTGGAGGGCTCAAAGGAAAGAGTAGGAAGTGCAGGGCAGGGCAGGGCGATCTTGGTAATCAAGTTCGTTACATGTAAGCATGCGAGAGTAGTGCAATCCTGATGGGACTCGTGCACGCCGACACGAGTAGAAAGGAAGGGGAAGCTAATCATCTCCACCAGGAAGAGGAACAAGGGTCAGGGCGGAGCACCTGCAGTAAGGATGGGAGAGTGATGAGGAAGAGGTGAGGTCACAGATGAGAGCGACCGGCAAGAGTAGAGGGGTGAGAGTAGAGGCATGAGAGTAGAGGGGTGAGAGTAGAGGCGTGAGAGTAGAGGCGTGAGAGTAGAGGGGTGAGAGTAGAGGGGTGAGAGTAGAGGGGTGAGAGTAGAGGGGTGAGAGTAGAGGCGTGAGAGTAGAGGGGTGAGAGTAGAGGCGTGAGAGTAGAGGCGTGAGAGTAGAGGGGTGAGAGTAGAGGGGTGAGAGTAGAGGGGTGAGAGTAGAGGCGTGAGAGTAGAGGGGCGAGAGTAGAGGGGTGAGAGTAGAGGGGTGAGAGTAGAGGGGTGAGAGTAGAGGGGTGAGAGTAGAGGCGTGAGAGTAGAGGCGTGAGAGTAGAGGCGTGAGAGTAGAGGGGTGAGAGTAGAGGGGTGAGAGTAGAGGGGTGAGAGTAGAGGGGTGAGAGTAGAGGGGTGAGAGTAGAGGCGTGAGAGTAGAGGGGTGAGAGTAGAGGCGTGAGAGTAGAGGCGTGAGAGTAGAGGCGTGAGAGTAGAGGGGTGAGAGTAGAGGGGTGAGAGTAGAGGGGTGAGAGTAGAGGGGTGAGAGTAGAGGAGTGAGAGTAGAGAGGCGAGGAGGCAGAGAGGCGAGGAGGCAGAGAGGCGAGGAGGCAGAGAGGCGAGGAGGCAGAGAGGCGAGGAGGCAGAGAGGCGAGGAGGCATAGAGGCAAGGAGGCGTGGTGGCGAGGATGCGAGGGTCGGGGCTGCAGCTGCTCGTGCTGAGTGGTGTGGTGGGTATTGAAAGAGGAGGATGAGTGTGGTGGTGTCGAGAGGGTCAGGTGAGAGTGAGACTGCAGGCATGGAGGGCTGGGGAGGGGAAGGAGAGAAGGAGTTTTTGCGGTGACGCTGAGTGAGAGGGGGAGGAGGAAGCGTGATGTGGTGCCGAACTCGAAGGCGGCGGAGAGAGGGATTGGCGGGAAAGTAGGGTGATGGGGTGGGGGAAGAGGAACGGGTGGGAAAGTAAAAGTGGGGAAGGGCACCCTGGTGCGGTGGCGTGCTGGCGGGGTGGAAACTTGGCGTGGAGGCGAGGAGGCGAGGTGGCGCTCCCGCGAAGAGGCGCGGAGGCGAGGTGGGGAGGTGGCGCTACCGCGAGGAGGCGCGGAGGCGCGGAGGCGAGGCAGCGAGGTAATGAGGTGGCGCGGAGGCGAGGAGGAGGGGAGACGCTGCCGACGCGTTCCTTCAATGACGCGGAGCGCACACTAGCTGTAGGCGCGGCCTTGGGGCCGCACTGTTTTTAGTGAAGGTCAGCGAGATGAATACGGGATGGGAGGCGGGGTTCCTTTGTCAGATTACGCTTGTAGTATTCTCGTCGCGGCAGAGAATACGCGACGAGTTCCTTGCTTGTAACCCTAACTCTCGACCCCATTATGCGCCTCGTGCAGCGCCGAAGTGGCGGGTGCGACGTGGTCAGGCGAGCAGAGAATCGCCAGACGAAATCCATATCGCGAGGAAATGGGGCGGTCTACGCTAGTAACGTGCTGCCTATCACTACTAGTAAGAATAGGCAGGTCGAGAAAGAAGTACACAAACATTCGATGTGTCCGTCAAGATGTGTGGGAAATTGGATTGGGGGAAATTGAGGGGGGAATACCACTCTGAACCACTCCGCTTTCTTCCGCTAAGCAAGAAATTGTTTCCCCCACCTCCACAGTCGGGAAACGCCGTAACTCGGCCGGTCAAGGGATAACCTTTGATGAAATTGGAATGAATGTGCACCCTGGTTTTAAGTTTTTGGGTTGCGTAGCAACCTTATACATTTGGTTTCACTTTTTGGGGAACTGACCGTGAACAGTGATTTTTCCCTGCCCGTTTGGGAAAAAAATACTGTTCAACTTTTTAGTTGCCCCAAAAATGTGAAACCAAATGTAACCAATAATTCCATAGTCGTCGATAAGTACGGCGAATGGAACAATTGGTTGGACACGAACGTGTACAAAAACCACATGCTGAAATCATGAACATTTCGAGGCAAACACTAGATGCATCAATGCTGCAACTGAGATTGATATGGTACGGAAAAGGCGAGCAAAGCTGCCCCACCGACGATGACAACCCCTGTTGCATACATGATGCATTTAGCACCACCCCAAAACAGACCCAAACGACAGCACACGAACTTGTACAAAAACGAGAAACACCAGTTGTGAGTGCTTCGAAGCTAATGCTAGAATGCATCGTTAATGCAACTGCGATTGATCTGGTATGGAAGAGGCAACCAAAGCTGCCCCACCAACGATCACAACCGCAATTGTATACACGAGGCACTTAGCACTCACCCCGAAACAGAGCCACACAACTACATAGCCTACATGTACGCACACACATACGCAGAGAGGAGAGGTGTTGAGGTGAGTAGTGGTGGGTGGGTGGGTGGGTGGGTGGGAGGGGAGAGTCGGCTTGTGCGTGCGTGCAACCATGGCTATGCACCTGTGTTCGTATACATAGGTGTATGGGCTCGTGTTTGTATGCACGTGTGTGTTTCTGCATGCACGTGAGCAGGTGAATGGGCAGGTGAGTGGGCAGGTGAGTGGGCAGGTGAATGGTCAAGTGAGTGGGCTGGTGGACTGTTGTTTCTCTCTGCTCAGAGGAGGGTGGGCAAAAGAACGTCCTTGTTTTTGACGCTCAGGAAATGGTGGGGCTCAAGGCACTTATGCTCACCCTCCGCTTGTGCATGCTGCGTGTGTGTGTTTCTGCATGTGCATTGGCAGGTGAATGGGCTGGCGGACTGTTCGCCTCTAGCACAGGAGAAAGCTGTGGTGCCAGCCTGAGGGACTACAGATGGTGGGACTTAAGACACTCGCCCACCTTTTGTGCATGTATTCAGTTCATCCACATGTGCACATGCGCAGGTGAACGGGCTGGTGGACTGTTCGCCTCTGGCACAGGAGAAGGCAGTGGTGCCGGATGGAGGGCAAATGGTAGTCGTTTGACCTAAATACTAAGCATGCAAGCATAGCCAATGAAGTTCACCAATTAATAAACCATCGCTACCTTGATCTCCCTTAACCCTCCCTACACCCCTCCGTCCCTCCTTCCCTCATCTCCCTCCCACTCCTTCCCTCAAACATTTGCCTGGAGCGGATGGGGCGAAGAAGAGAGCGCCTCCAATGAAGGGGGGTGGGGAAGCGCTGGCGGATGGGGCAAGAACGATACTGGCGGTGATACCGGCGGATGGGGAGCCGCAACTGGCGGCAACACTGGCGGCTGGGGAGCAGTCACCGGCGGCAACACCGGCGGATGGGGAGCTTTCCGCGAGGACCAAAGGGGGGAGGAAGAAGAAATTGAGGACATTGAGGCCGAAGCTCCTGTTGTTCCTCTTGGTCGTCCTCCGCGCCGCCCTGCACCCGCACTGCCACCACCTGACATCCCGCCAGGGAGTGACCCTTGGGACACCATCGACTGGGGGAACGAGCCATCAACTCCGCGACGCACCGTCTACGGGCCTTCCCCCGAGCCGCGCGAACCAACCTTCTTCCCGGGAACTATCCCTGGAACCAATATTCCCCTCTCCACCATCCTTGACAAGGAGTTTCTTGCGCTAATGTTGACGACGGCAAAAGGAGAAGAAGAAGCTAAAGAAGCAGCAGCGCCACCTGCTCAAGCACCTGACGAGGATCCCGCAGAAGCACTCGCGCGCTACATGCGCACCTCTCGATTCCGCGCCGACGATGCCATCTGGCACTAGCGCCTAGGTCACCCCTCGCGCGTGACACTGAAGAACTGCATCGAGGCCGGCGTGTTTGCGCCTGGCGCACTCCTGCGCCCTGATGTCACCGAAGTAAGAAGCGTGACACATCCGCGCAACTGCACCGTCTGCCCCGAAGCCGCGCTGAGCCACCAGCCGTTCCCCCTGCTAGAGCCCGGAACTAACCGCTACACCAAACTGGAGAAGGTGTACAACGACTTCCTCAACGTGGGACACTGCGGCATCAATGACGAACTCTACACACTCACCTTCGTCGACGCCGGAACGCGCTACGTATGGGTCGTAAACGTGGAAGCGCGCAGCAGAGCGTACGAAGTGTTCCGCCTGTGGCTGGTGCACGCGCAGCGGCAATCTGGGGAGAAGTTGAAGATCTGGCAGTCTGACGGCGCGGCGGAGTTCAGGAGCAAGGAGCTGCAGGACTACCTCTCGCAGAAGGGGATCGAGCACCACATTTCCCTCCCCTACGCGCACCAGCAGCAGGGCGTAGCCGAGTGCACGAATCGCACCCTCATGACGAAGGTGCGGGCGCTGATGAAGCAGTCGAAGCTTCCGCCGACCTACTGGACCTACGCAATGCACCACGCCGTGCAGGTGCACAACCTGCTGTCAACCACCGCGATCACCGACAACTCCTCACCGCATGTAAAGTGGACGGGGAACAAGGGCGACACATCCATGCTCCGCGTGTGGGGATGCATGGTGCAGTACCGCCCGCCGACATCGACTATCGGGAAGTTTGCAAGCCGTGCGCGCTGGGGGATCCACCTCGGCATCAGCCACGAGCACAAGGCATGGCTCATTCTGGACCTCTTGAGCCAGAAAATCAAGAACGCGCGCGATGTCATCTTCTACGAGCGGCTCTTCCTTCGGCAATTCCGCGAAGACGAGCAGGCGAACGCGAACCGCGTCTACGCCAACGACGCCCACAGCTACGCCTCACCTGAGGACGAAGCCGCAGCAGCAATTCTGGAGCAGGACCCCAGAGGCGAATTCACGAGAGGCGATCTCGACGACGACGACAACGACGACGACGACGATTCTCCTGGAGGAGGAGCAGGCGCAGCAGGCGGAAGCATAAGCGGGGGCGGAAACGGAAGCAGAGGCGGAAGCGGCGGAGGCGCAGCACCACCAGCACCGCCTGAACCTGAAAGCGATGACGACGACGTACAGGAGGTCACTCCACAACACCGTCACGACAGCACCGTCACCGGACTCTAGCTCCTTGGGCTCCACACTGCCACCTCAACGGCGCCACGTGTCATCGAGCCGAAGAATCCGCGTCAAGCACTCACGGGACCACACAGCAAGGAGTGGCGCGAAGCGATGGATGCAGAAATCAAGGCACTTGAGTCCCGTGACACCTGGGTGCTCGTCGATCGAGCGGCGATCAAGGAGGAGGATTCTCTCCGGGAAATGGGTCTTCCGCGTGAAGACCGCAGCTGACGGTACGATCGAGCGATTCAAGGCGCGCTGGGTAGTGCGAGGCTACGATCAGAGGCACGGCATTGACTTCGACCAGACATTTGCACCGGTCAGCCATCACACCTCCGTCAGGATCCTCCTCGCTATCGCTGCAGCACGACACCTCCCTCTCCGACAAATCGACGTGAAGAACGCGTTCCTGTACGCGTTAGTGGATGCAGTAATCTACGTGGAGCAGCCATACACATATGGCGAAGGGGATTCGTGTGTCTGCCAGCTGCGAAAATCCCTTTACGGGATCAAATAGGCGCCAAGGCTCTGGCAGCAGTACCTGCACAACATACTGCTCGAAATCGGGTTTAAGCAACTGCCTCACGATCCTGGGATGTATCGCCGCGATTTCCGCGGCGAATACATCCTACTCACGGTCTACGTCGACGACCTTCTCTACACAGGGTCAAGCAACGAGTTGCTTGAACAATTCGAGAAAAACCTCGCAGGGCGCGTCGACATCACCTGCAACCATGACGTGAAGCAATTCCTGGGGCTCAACATCTCCTACTCGCCGGAAGCCATTCATCTATCAGCAGCCAAGTACGCAGAGGAGCTTAGCAAGTGCTTCAATATTGCGCCTGCACCACTCTCCACCCCTTACGCACTCCAGGACCCAACCACAAGCCTGACAACAAAGCCCTGTCCCCTGCTGTGCTTCACACCTACCAGCAGCAGTTGGGATGCCTGCTCTTTGCATCTGTTACCTGCAGGCCCGACCTCTCCTACATCGCGAGCCAGTTGGCTCAGTACTCTCGCAAACCAACGGCTGAAAATTTGCTAGATCTCCAGCGGGCAACTTCAGTTCTTCATCTCCACGCCCAATGTTGGGCTCTGCTACTCCACCATCCCAACCTCGTCCTTCAACCTCATCGGCTACGTGGACGCTGATCACGCCGCTGACCCCGACAATCGACGGTCCAGGACAGGCTTCCTTTTCCGCCTCGAGCTCAGCGGCCCCATCTTGTGGAATTCACAGAAGCAGGAGCTGGTTGCCCTGTCATCAGCGGAGGCTGAATTCATCGCAGCAACAGCAGCCGTTCGCGAAGGCCTCTACCTTCAGGAGCTGCTGCAGGAGGCAAAAATTCCAGCCTCGGCGAACTTTCGCCTGCACTGCGACAATCAGAGCGCGATCAGGATCGCGAACAAGCCAGGATTCGTTAACCGCACCAAACACATCGCGCTGCGATACTTCTTCGTCAAGGACGAAGTTGACAAGGGCAAGGTTGACCTAACCTACTGCCCGACGGGTGACATGGCAGCTGACTTCCTCACGAAGAAGCTGTCACGTCATCAGTACCAACACTGCTCCGAACTCAGCGGAGTAGTCAAGCGGGTTAAGACTCGCTACGG